GCCGGAGTGGGCGGCGCGGAGGGGCGGGGAGGTCGCCGGCCTGGGCAGGGTTTTTTTCTTTTCGCGCAGGAACAAACGAGTGCGCAGTGCCGGCGCGCCGAGCCGGCACCGAGCAGCCGCGCTGAGACGCCCACGCAGAGCCCGGGACGGTCGCGCTGCCCCCCCCCCCCGAGGGCCCCATTCCTGCTCGGGCCGCCAGGGACCGCGCGGGGGTCTGTCTCAGGGCACCCCGGAAGCGCTCCCGCAGGACCTTTACTCAGATACGGCTTCTTTGTGTGCGTGTGTTTCCGGATTATTTTTAGAGCCATGTCAGGTATACAGAAAAATTGAAACGGACGGCACGGAGGCACCGCAGGGGTTAAAAGGTACTTCAACCTGTGAACAGGTCGCCAGGCCCTGGGCTCGCGCTGGCGTCGCCGGTCCTGGCCCTGAGCTCTCCCGGCGGTGCCAGCAGCCCCACCCGAGCAGCAGCGCTTGTGGGTGGGGACCGTCGCCTCACCGGGACCCTCCAGCCCCGCGCCGAGGCCGGGCTTGCATCAGCTTTTCCTTGGCGTCAAGCCTTCGGAGGGTTCGGGCCAATTTATAATAACGATCCACCGTTGAAGTATCATAGGAAGTATTTTCACCGTGGGATAATTTTCGTTTAATTTTTTCTTTCCTTAGATCCGACAAATTTTTCAGACTTTTTCATGCCTTTAGAGTTCAGGATACAGAAAGGATGGAAAATAATGAAATGAGCCCGAGGCTAGGACTATTTTATTATAATACTCAAAAATGACTAAGGGCTTGACAGGAAGGAATCGCTTTGATGAAACATTGTGATGGTTGCCAGTCATACACAGGCTTCCACTGTGCCTGCATGACTCACACAGCATGTTTCAGTAGCATGTAGCGTGGTGGGGCAGGAAAAAGTACCTTTTAACCCAGAGACCTGCATTTTGTACCCAGACAGCTATGATCCCACAAGATCTGACCCAGCTGTCCCTTTTTTTTTTTTAAGAAAACCAATTCTTTTGATAAGTAAGCTCTCTGTGGAGCGCATGCACAACAACCTCAAAAGGGGGCGGGGAGGGCAAGGTCCTCTACCCTTGTGAATGCGTACAGCAGATTCCTGGAGTGAACAGCCTTAGCTAACCATCTGGTTTAAACATCATCATATAAGGAAAACACATCTCATTAAGAGATCATCAGCTAAAGAAATGAAGCCTTCCTGATAGTGTCATTTCTTTTGTTTTTCAAAGCACTCAGCCCTTTCTGTTTTTGCCGTCTTGACACATCTCAAAGTAGAGAGCACTATCCACCTAATCACAGGGCAATGACGACCTCATACTTAAATTACCCTGTCTTGTGATCTAACATGGTTTTTCTTTCTTGGTCCAGTCCGGTCTGTTTGGAGTCAGGGTCTTGTTTTGTAGTTCAGGCTAGGCTTAAATTCACTATGTAGCTAAGGCAGGGCCTCTAGCTCATGGCAGTCTTCTTGGCTCAGCCTCCTGAGTGCTGGATCCATCCTCACCACCACTCCTGGCTCATAATGTATTTTAGATTCTAAAACAATAAGTACATAATATTCTACTAGTATTATTGATATAAGTACTCAGCCTTTTAATAGCACCTCCAAATGAAATTGCCTCTTAGTGAGCAAAACAACAACCAATGTTAGCAAGATAAAATTACATTCCTAAGTCACTTACGGTCTATAACGTTGATTTAGAGTTAAGTTTTACATTTGCTCATGATTTTACCAACCACTTATTTTTTTTTTTTCTCAGATGGACTACTGCTCAGAAAAGAGGCCATTTTTTACACCCAGCACTACACTGAGAACATAATGTTGAAAAACAGATCTGATCAAAAGTAGACATTACAAATCCTATTAATGTAACAAATTCATGTTCTCTGAACATTGTGCTATTCTAGCTGAGGTGATAAAACTCGGAAAGCGTGTTTTCAGTGAGTGAGAGTAGAGCAATAATTTGCAAGTATGTCTTAATGTCACTATGCGTGTGACAACTCTTCCTCACCACAAGTCCATGACATAGTCATGATTGTAATCCCTACTTAACAGATGAAGCCATTGCAAAGAGGGGCTCTGGAATTTTCTAACGCCAGCTTACTAGTAGGTAGTGACAAGGACTAGAGCCTCCACTATATTTGACTATGCTATAATAATCCCTCAAAAAAAAAGTTGAAAGAAAAGGAACCTTGTCCCTTTTCCCTTTCTGGCCACTTTAATTACCATCATCATGTATGTGAAATAATAATTATCACCCCCAAAGAGCCCGTTCTGAGCCACTTTTGCTGATCGCAACCCAGCCTTGTGACCTATGATGAGCCATCACAAGCAGACACTGAATCATCCCCTTGGAAGCAGCTCCTTTGGGAAGAAATGGGAATAACAATGTTCTTTACAGATCTTAAGTAATTCCCAGTGATTTTTTTAAAAATATATTTAGTACAGGGGCTCACTACATAGATCAGCCTCCCAAGCACTGGGATTACAGGCATGTGCCACCAAGCCATCTCAGCACACCCCAGGGGCGGGGCCAGCATGGCTTGTGTTGGCTGGGATCCAACCACAGTCCCTGTAACAGCCTAAGTAGGCGCTTTAGTCTGCTGAGCTATCTGGCTGTGCCTCTCAGTGATGTTTTTAATCCTTGGTCTTTTGGCACTTATATAATATGTGCTCAATAATTGTGTTAAGCTGTCACTTTATGTTGTTGATGTCATCAATCTAAGATAATTCTCCATAGTGTATTGTTAGCTTTTTCTCATGTGGATATCAAGTACCTACAGCTTTCACACTAAAGAATGACTTCTGAATTTCTGTACAGTGATGGTTAAGGTCATGGAGACCTCTTTATCTGGGACAGTCTTCCCATTGGGAACTACTCCCATGTTCACCAAAGCAGCCTGTTCTTCAGAGGTAAAGCAGTAATCATCATCCACCTCCTTCTCTCCTGACCAGGTACATTGAGCTGTACCCCCCACATACACACACCAGGATGCTCTGTAAAGATTCCCTCAGGTGTAAACCACAGGTAAACAAGTGCTCTGTATGTCTCCTGTTTTCACTGAGCTTTACTTTTTCTCAATTCTTCTATAGTATAGCACAGTTAGCAGATCTTAAAAATTAAATGCAAGAATGTGTGATTTATGTGTATTTACTAAAGAAAAACTGAAAAGAATTTACCTTCTCTATCTGAACATCTTTGTACCTAATTAAAATTCACTAGCCATTTTCTGAGCATTAATTTCTAAAACATTTATGAAATTATGGCAACCTGTTGCTTTTAATTTGTATGAATTAAAATTAGCATACTGCTTATACTGAAATTTTATCTTTATCACCACGTGTATTTTTTTTAAACAGTTCGTAGGCTTGATCCTCAATTTACCTTGACATGAAGTTCCTGGAATTTAACTGGCTCTGAGATTCTTGTCCTCTGTTCAGCTCTATAATTTTAGAAAGGAAACCTAGGGCTGGGGAGATAGCTCAGTGGTCTAAGCACCTTCCTGGCAAAGCGCAAGGACCAGAGTTCGATCCCTGGTACTGCAGGCCATGCTGGCCCTGAAACCGGACATGGTGGTGCACATCTATAATTCAAGCACTGGAATGGAGCCGGGGAGATGGCTCAGTGGAATAAGTGCTTCCCTGGCAAGTGCAAGGGCCTGAGTTCAATCCCCGGTTCCGCAAAAAAAAAAAAAGTTTATAATTCAAGCACTGGGGAGGCTAAGCAAGAGGATCACTACAAATCCAAACTGCATAGTGAGACCCTGTATCAACAAAAAACCTAAAGTGAGTAATTAAGACAACTGAGTATCTCCTTCCTTGCCCTCTCTTTATTCTCTTCCAGTATATCAGAACAATAAAAAATGCAGCTCATCTTTTTCTACAGTCAGAATTCACCTAAACAGGAGCCATGGAAGACACATTAAGGGTCATTGTGATAGGCTATCCTATCCAGTTGTGAGGGCTGGGTAGACAAGTGTAAAAGCTCTAGCTTATTCAGGGCAGGAGCTAAAGTGTCTGGCACAGGCAGAATTTCCTCTTTAGGAAAACCTCAGTTCAGTGCTTACATATGTGTAATAGATTGAGTCAGTCTTACTCAGGTCATAGTAAACAGTCTATAAGGTCAACTCATTTTGGACTTCAATCATGTCTATAAAATAGCATTATAGCAAAACCTAGAATTATTTTTTATTTAATAATTGGGCAATAGCGTAGCCACACTGACACAGACCCCTAATATCATATGTTTATTTAAATACTACAAGCAAAAAATATACTATAAAGATAAAGGATAAATGGAAAAGGGGAAAAACAGGAGAAAGAGAAGAAGTACCAGAAAGTTAGACATTAAAAAGAAGTAATTATTCTATACTCAAGTATTTCCTGTCAGCTTCATCAGACATACAAAGGAGGAATCATCAGGCCATAATTAGAAAAAGTTGGAGTTATGATACTGAGCTACTGCATGTCAATCTTAACAATATTTCTATTTAGCACTCTCCTGAGCCACCAATGGGACACAGCTGAAATTAAAGAAGAACTTAGGCAGTTTCTACAATTAAATGATAACTACAGTACAACTACTAGAACTTATGGGACACAATGAAAGCAATCTTACGAGGAAAATTTATAGCAGTAAATACACATTCTCAGGAAAACAGAGCAAGAACAAATAAACAACTTATGATGAGCCTCAAATTTATAAAAAAAGAACAGGCCAAGTCCAAAACTCATAAAGGGGAAAATTATAAAGATCAGAGCAGAAATAAATGCATTGGAGACTAAGAAAA